TTCGGAACAGGATCGCTTGTATTTGAATTGATTAATCAATAAAAACAAAATCAAAAATGTCAGAATTCACTGGTTCCACTGAGATTGTTGGCTCTATTGTTTGTCCTCAATAGGAAATTAAACACCTTTGGGTTTTGGACAAAGCAGGCTGTTTGAATCGTTCAACTTGAGCTTTAGAAGATTATAATTTGTAATTTGTCACTATTTTCAGGCATTTCATGAACCAAACTTTGAATTGATAAATAACTGTGATAGTAATCAATTATGAAAATATAATAAAGTTGCAGCCAGTTACATCATTGATGTCAGGTACGGCTTAACAGGAAGCAGATTTTGTTTAACTCATTATATCACATTCAAGGCTGATCCGAATTAATGTAGAAGTGTCACCATTGTGAAGGGATAATATACCTTTTTCTCTTCTCAACTATGCAGAATGTATTGTCAATCCACAAACTTGATTATTAATCTTCATTATTTTGAAGTGTATCCATGTCATAAAGACGTTATTCTACAACTTGCCCGGTAATAAGAAGAGGAACTCAACTAGTAACAGCAGCGGCAGGAGCATCACATTGACTGCCTGTTGTTCGGATCCTGACAAAGGCTCTGTGGAGACAAACCAAAGTAAGAAACAGAAGGAGAAACATGGACGCCGATGTCACTACACTAACAAACTCACCTGCTATCATGATGTGTGTGGTGATATTGCTCTTCATGTTGGTGTGATTGTTGAAGGCCAGACAGGAATATGGACCGCTTCGGTCCTTACCGACACTGAACAGCTCCAATAATGGACCTGTAGTGTTCACAAGCTCTCCTCTGAAAGTCCACTGAAGCTGAGCTGGAGGATTGGACTGTGCCGAGCAGAGCACGGTCAGATTGGATCCGATGGGAAAGGAAGTCGTGTTCTGTCCATTCACTGTTAGCGCCATGTTATCTGGACCATCTGAGAAAGAGACAAAAGGAGGAGACGCCATTTTGTAGAACTGGTCGATTGTAGCAAATGATGATTGAAGTGACTCCGTCTTACTCACAGCTGATAGTAAAGTTTACAGGATCACTGGTTCCATTGCTGATGCGATTGAACACTCGACAACTGAACGGTCCCTGGTCATAGCGCGTCACATTCACTATGGTGAGAGTGGAGTTTTCATGAGTGAGCTGAACTCTGTCACTGGCTTTAACCTCAGAGCTGCGGTTCATCCAGAGGAAAGAGAGAGAGGATCCAGAGGAGACGGAGCACGTAACGACTGCTGAACTCTTGAACTCCATCAGGTTGGTCTGATTGGTTCTTAGCGTCACATTTGAGATGGGCTCTGTGAGGATGAGACACGGATCAACATGTTTCAACATACTGTACACTGTGAGGCTTTGTGAGGAAAAACATACATACAAATTATACAAATGGATGTTAGTGTTCATATTTCATAGGCCTACGTTTTGTGGCCACTTTATCGATCTATAAAGTATTAAAAAAATGTATTTACCATAAATAACGTTATCTGTTACAAGCTAAAAAGTGTTTCATTAGAAGGTAATTTAATAACTTATTACTTCATCTGGTGTAATTTTGTATGAAATCTATATTTAAGAGACCCTAATTATGTGAGGTAAAATGTAAAACATGCTACGGCCTTTACATACATGTTGGGAGCTATTGACCCAGCAGAAACAGGTTCCGTGAAGCTGAAGGAACAAGAAGACAAAAAGGTCGAAAGGTGTTGACAGACACGGACAGAAACTATCCAGAGGACGCGATCATGTGAGCAAAAAGGGCAGCAAAACCAAAACACAGGCAGGCTCTCACGGCATTCGCTGGTTGTCAGTCCAAATATCACGAGGGAGGAACATGAATTCCTTTAAGTCGTTTGTGAGTACTGTTTAGGGATGTTCTCTTTTCCTCACAACAGGAACCTGTTCCAGTAAGAAGGGTAGTGTAAACAATTCATCAGCACATTTTTCTCTGCCTCTCCCCCTTTACGTGTCTAACTAGACTTGTTCACTGCAGTGAATTGATGTTCACTTTCTAATATGCTTCAGTATGTTTGTTCGTATGTTGTGATTACCGTTAATATAATTTTCTCGTTTTTGAGAATTTTAATTTTCTTACTGTTTGACTGTTGTCTGTCAGCACGTCTTTATTTGTTCATAAGATTGATGCTCTGCTGTCTCTGTCTACACCACCACTTTTATTACATTTTCTGTGGGCCAGTAAAACTGGTTTCTTTGTTGACTGTACATATTCTTCATATAACTGCCTATGTCATTCAGGTTGAATACATAATATTTAAAAAAGTGACATCATCCAAAGCGACATTACTTTAACATTATAAGAGCATGACAATCTTTAAAAAACAAATGTTTTTTTGTGAATGGTTTATGTTGATTAAACGGTAAACACCTACATTTTTTGTGATTTATTTTGGACAGTTTATTGACTCAACAATCCTGAAGTTCATTCAAAGCCTTCTTCAAAGCACTAACCCAGTTAGAGATCATAAAAAGGGATGGATTATAATGAAGGAAATGCAAATGAATAAGGGCTCAAGTCTCTGTGACAGAAAACAGTTGCCCTCAGAAATGTCCTCGAAAAAGATATTCAATCTGCACCATACTAATAAAATTAACAAATATTTATAGTGGAAATAAGTCCAAAAATAACCTACTCATATTACCTTCTTAAATATTACACAAACCAGTACTATTTTAACTTTGTAAAGCTCTAAAGTGAGTTGATTTAACATTGCTGGATTTGATCTTTTCCATGCAGGGTTAGGGCAGAGAAGACTGTGTTGTGAGTATTTCTGTTTGAAACAACAGTTTGCCAACCAGACTCTTCTCTTCAATGCTCTTGGGCAGTTTACATTGGGCTGGTTTCTAATGCAATGGTTAGGAGAGGCTACAGAGTTTCTAAATTGATGAACTATTGAATGCAGTTAGTGAACAAAGCCATTTGTTTAGTCTCACCGAGAACAGTGATGGAAGCATTGGCCCTAAGCTGGGGCTCGGTGCTCTGCACTACGTAGACTCCCGAGTCAGCCACCGTGCCGGAGCGCAGGGTGAGAGCTCCAGTGAGGACGTTGACTGACGCCCTGCCGCTGTGATTGGGGAAGACTGCCTGCTGGTCCCCGAGCCAGCTGAGGATGAGGGACGCTCCCACTGCCCAGCTTCCACTCCTCAGAGACGTCGAAGGAGACAGAGACAGCGTCACGGAGTCCCCAACTTCAGCAGGGTTGATGGAGGGCTGGACCTCCACAGCACCAGAGGCCAGAACACCTGAAGAAGAGAACATTTGTTACTAACTGTTTTATCAATAACACCTTGCAGTATAGTTAAATATGAAAGACATTACCTTGTATTAAAGCCAGCAATGCAATAGCCAGGGTTCCTTCACTTATCTTCTCCATTTTGTGTCGACGGTCTGAGGAAGTCCTCACTATCTCTCTTCTATTATACTTGTAGATGCGTCCAGCCCCCTACCTACAAATACCTAAAGCAGCAACCCCAGTTCTTATCTGTAGGCGGTTTCTGTTTTTTTGGGGGTTTACTCTTGTCAAACTTACAAAGGGTGCATTGCGCTTTCCGCTTACTATCTTTGGTAAGTTCTGTAAATGGCTAATGAGCAAAATGACAAATTATGACAGAAGGTATGTGAGGCAGGATTAGGGGGGTTGTGGGTAGTAACCCATTTGTATTCATTAGTTTTTTGTTGTTTTTGGCTAAATCATATTTTTTTGTGGGAGGATTATGCTATATTTCTCCCCATCAGTGTCCTGCCTATCCCTGCCCTGACCCTCATTGGATAAGTGTTGTATTTCGGGGAGGTTTTTTTTATCTTCTTCCCACCCCCCTGAAGTTTCGGTTTACCCATATGTCACTCTCAGCTTAGTTTTTTTCCTGTGTGTCAAAGACAAAGAATTCGCCTCGATTCCACTCATGTTTTCAGCAGCTTTACACTCAAAATGAAAACACCTGCAGCAGCTTTGTGGAGTACATGTTTGCTGATAATGTCCATCTGGTGTGCTCTGTGTACTCAGTGTTCTGAATCTTGCAAGCAGCAACACATCAACAACCATCTAGTTTTCATTTATGAGAGAGGAGACCATACACTGGATTATATGACCGACCAGCTGATAAATTTGTATTTTCACAGTTCAATCAGTACACGTCTCCTCTCTTTCAGTCATTAGGAAGTGCTGTCTTTTCTCTCATTACACATTGAGTAAGCAAACCAATATACCATTCACAATACCACTCAGTAAACACCTGTGGCATTATTTGAGCTGCAGTGCAAAGTTCAGTATCTGAGCACACCTGTGTTGTGTAGCTGACACACAGGAGATCGATGACTGGGCAGTGGTATTTGTAGAGCATCAAGGTGAGTATATAGGAGTAGCAGCATTGAAAGGACAGCTTCTAATTATTTAACTGAACAGTACATATGTATAGTAGTATTTATTACTTGTCTTTTTAGATGAATAGGCTGTTGCATTTAAGTTTGACACATGGTGTTGTCTGCTTGGCAGTGTTATAAACCTTGGTCAGAGGAGTTCTTAAAAACCAAAACAAATGATGGTTACATTCATCCTCACTAAAACACAGTGTGCGTCTCCTTGAGATTAAACAGATGTGCCAAATTCTAACAAGTTACTGAAGTAAAAGTACATAAGCGTCAAAATAAACTATAAGTACTAAAGTAAAAGTACTCACTTTGGCCAATTTCAGAAAAATATATTATATTACAGGAATATAATTCAAGCTGTATCATCTATAAACACCCTTCTAATGTTGATAGAAAAGGGGGGACTAGTTTCGAGACTTTATACACTATTAGGTATGATTTATTAGTTGATTTAGTTTATATTACATGTTTATTAATAACCACAGTCTGAAAAGTAACTAGTACCTATAGCTGTTAAATAAATGGAGTGAAAAGTACAATATTTGGAGCAGCATAAAGTGTTTAGTGTGCAAAATAGAACTTCATTTTTCCACCACTGGTCAGGGAATTATTACAGTTCATGTCGTCCGAACTGCCTGAGGAGCATTTCCACACATCCAAAGATTATAGTTTGAATAATGCGTCCGTGTTAATTTCCTTCATTACAGGCCTCAAGTTAGTGTGAGAGGTAGTTTTTTCTGAGACTGTACAGAAAAAAACGTCATCATTCCACAGAATGTTCCTGATAACATCTGACTCAGTTTCTGCCCTGAAGTGATGCTTAATGCCCTCATGTCCTGGCTCTGTAATCCAACACCCGGACCAGAGGAACCACATTTTCAAAAAAGAGAGCAGAATCAAGACAGGTGTGGTGGATGCTTGAGCGGCATGACTAATCAGAATCCACATTGGTTTGTTGATAATCCTTTCAGGTTGAATTATTGTTTATGGGAAACTTAGAAGTGTAAGATTACCTGCCTAGTTATGATTAGCATGTCATTTTGTATAATTTATTATTCTTGACATGGAGTAATTTCTATAATTACGACACAAGTATTTATTTGGTTGGTTTGCTGATGGATTGATGCCCAATCACTTTGAGTGACTCTTAGCTATTGTTATTCACATTAAGGAACACAATGGAAATATGCCTTTGGACATTATATTATCATTGTATTATAATTGTACAGTTTTACTGTATCAACTAAGAAAACTAAACTAAAGGTTAAAATAGTAAATAATTAAATAAATAGCTCAATACGGACTACATTTTGTTGCTTGTTATGTCACTGACAGCACCACCTTTTAGAAAGCAAACAGCAGTCCATGACTAAAACTGAAAAAAGAGCAAAGTAAAGAAACCGCAAGAAAAGGCCTAGAAAAGAAAAGAAAAGAAAACTTTGATGAACACAGTGTCAGTAACACCTCATGGTCAGATGGCAACAGATCAAGCAAGTCAGTTGTGGGGGGTTTATTATAACATACGCCTTGTAAATGTTCTTGTATTTGTTTGTACCACCACCATAGATGTGTAGTTTTCAAAACAAACGCAGTGTTCCAACTGAAACTTGAACGGAGGCCAAATATATAACTCGGCTCTGGGGTGGAACGACAAGTCTTTTTTTTGTTATGTTACATAAACAGCATAGTTTTAAATAGTGTTCTAGGTTTACTTCCCCATTCCAACTAAACCACAGGGCCAAAATAATTTGCAACAGGTGAGACAACATCCTGAGAAAAAAAGCCAAAAGAACAAAAAGGACGGATAATATAAAATGGAAAAGCAAAATACACAAGAGGCCTCCGTCTCCCTCATCTGTTAGTTGTGATTCATTATCTTATCTGTATTATTTGTTCCGTTTAAGGGAGGTTAAGAGGGACTTTCTTGAGTCACTAACCTCGTGTATTTCAACACATCACTATAAAGGAGTCGGTTATTTTTTCAACATAAATTGACTTCACAAAAACCTCTTTTCAGCATCGGTGTGAATCAGTAACACATCCAGGTCAGAGGTCAACTTCAAGTCAAACTCTGCATTCCTATATCCATACTACCGTGCTATTTATTATATCAGGAAAAGATTTAGTAGACATGTCCTAATACATAGTATGTCAAATACAGTGTACCAAAAACCCGTAGTATGACCCAGTGTGTGCACACTGCATGCAACAGTACGTACTGTGTAAGAGCAGCTGCAGTACGAACTGAAGTAAAAAATTGTACAGAATTGCAAAAGGATTTGATGACAGCTGATTGCTGAAACCCAGAGTCCCAGTAAAAGTCATACAAAAACTATGTCACTGTAGCTTCCCAAAAAAAAAACAGATTTTGTATGTGCATATGAAATGACCTAATTACACTGCAGTAAAAGAAAATCTGAAATAACACCATAACTTTGACCTGAATTTATATGAACTCAGAAGTAATTTATCAGATAGGCTTCATTGTCAAATGTAACCATGTGAAAAAAACAGATAATATATTGTCTCTATTATTGCAGTCCTGCTGTTCTCACACATTTCGGACGCTGCTGCTAATGGTGAGAAACATACACAATAGTCTTTTGTAAAGGAAATATACTGTTGAGCTATTTTAATTTTGGGGTTTATATGGATATTTTACATTTTTGAACATTTCCTAAAAGTTATTCTATTTTGTACACTTTTACTTCATTTTGCTTCCATGGCTTCATAAACATATTTACTCTTATTTGGAGGATTTATGGTATACAATAATTGAGGAACAACTAAATGTGGTGTGTTAAAATGGGTGAACCAGTGTATTCTAACATGAAAAGTTTAAAAGAAAAAGGCAAAGAAAAACATTTCCAAAAGTGCAAATACACTCAATAAAGCTTAAAAAGCAAAAAGCAGCAGCAAACCCAGGCTGACGATCATTGAAGGAAGTCCATTTAGCTGCACCGCCTCTGATCCAGAGAGAGGAATACCTGTGTGAGTGTGAAGATGACAAATCAAGTCATTAAACTGGATTGAACATGTAACTTGACGCTGATGTGATAGCAGACACAGGAGCAAGTAGAGAGTTGTCTGTACCTAAAACTTCTACCAACTTGGTGGCCTCAGCAGAGCGTCCAACTGCTGCATTTTCTGCAACGCAGGTGAAGTTTTGGGAAGTACCCGCTATGGAAGAGGTCCACTTGAGCTCATTTCCATGGACTGAAAAGTAGGTTCCAATGGGGAAACCCTGCCTGAATGGCCATCTGACAGTACAATCCACATTTAAGGTACAGCTCGTCAAGCAGGTGAATGTACTCAATATGCCAGGAAACACGGTGTCGGGTCCGCTGATGCTGACGTTCCAAGGATCAACTACAAAACAAAAGAAAGTTCACTCCAGTATGTGAATAATACTGTAATACATTCTTTGAACTATTCTTCACTCAATGACCACTTACAGCTGAGTAGGTAGCCCAGGCTGAAAACTCTTGTCTGTTGAAACGTCGCCGCAGAAGTCTCACACATGTAGAATCCAGCATCAGCAGAAAGCGGTGATTCAAAGTGAAGTGTGAGGTTGTTTTGCAGCAGCTGCATATTTTCACGCAGGCTCACCTTCTGTCCGTCTTTGTGCCAGACCACCTGGTTCACCGGCTGTGAAGGGTCACCTGCTGGAGCACCATGGCAGACCAGATCCAGTGGCTGGTTGAGAGACGGAACAGTGTTCGGTGGACTGATTTGCACGGACATTCGATCTGTAACAGGAGACATTAGCAGAAGATTTTAAAATCACGAACGAAAGAAGAAGTACACACATCAGAGGTAATGCATGTAAATTGTGTGTCACTCAAACTCTGCATATTGTGCGTATAATAATGAAGTAATTTTTTTGAAGGTATTGACCCTGTGACTGACAAATTATTACAAAACATTATTAGATCGTAAATACTGATGCATCAATGTGGAAGTAACCTTGAACTACTTTATATATTTTAGGTAAATTACCTCAAAATTTTACTTAAGTACAGTACTTTAACTATTAATAGTTATTTTCCACCTCGGCACACCTGATATAGTGATAAACGTACTTACTCTCAATTTCTACAATGGAGGTAATACTGCTGGAGACTCCCGTTTCCGGATTCAGCACATTGCATTGTAAATCTACTATGTTGTCCAGTCCATTTGGTGTCCAGTTGAATTTGCTCCCGTTGACCGTGCGGCCCATAAAGGACCAGGTGTAGATGCAGTTTGGTTGGCATGAAGAGGAACAGGTGAAAGTGGTACTGAAACCAGCTCTGACCTGCCCGGTCCAGGAAATCTGCTCCCAGGCCTCCAAACCTGGTGCCCCTGAGGAGAGCAGGAGTCAGTAGGTTGTATCAGACGATGATGATGTAATATTAAGTTCTTATTTCTTATCAATTACAGTATTCTCAATATATGTAAAAGGCTATTTCAGAGGCCTTGCTAAAAAATATATATATACTGTATGTATATTCTTGTGAAGACCACCTCAGAAAAGATAAAAGTCATATTTCAAATCATAGCAGTGAGTCAAGGCTAGTGTAAACTTTAAACACCTTACATATGGTCGGAAACATGAAGATTCAGTGCAGAATCAAAAATTAAACAATGTTTAATTTTTTTTATCCTCTGAAACATCACCAGCTTTCTTAATATACCAAACTTTTTGAACAGTCATATATATGGTTATTAAATCAGAACCTGTAGTAACAAGCTACTGTTTATAAAAATCTGCCAGTAAATGAAGTGCTCTTACCCATCAGTGCCACCAGCAAAACACAATGAAGACCCCTCCAGTAGCGTATCATAGTAATGTTTCTCATGGCAGACTCCTTTGTGTGTTTGAAAATAAGAACTACGGAGTCTCCTTTTCTAAACCACTAAAACATTACTCATTTCAGTCACACCCAGCATCTTGCTCAACATCAGAATTTACTTGACAACGAAATCTTTTAGCAAAGGAAATGTCCTTAAACTATGACAGGAAACTGCAATTACAGTACAAAGGTTCAGTTAGCTTTTGTGACTTTTGTAAATTGTGGGATGATGTGACCTTTTTTTTTTATTATTCCGTGAATATGGGTTAGTCTAAATCTGAAGAAAACAGTGACAAGACAAGTTATGACGGTTCCCTATCTTGGTTACTTGTATGTTCCTTTAAGCCAGCAGGTACCAGAGGTGGTGATCCCGGTCCCCCTAAGTGGAGGCACCTGGGCCCGGTGTGCTCCCACTATAAGGCTCCGCCTTCCTGGCAACCAGTGGCGCTCTACTATCACACCGTGGAGGAACGAGGACGGCTCGTTCGCAACCACCATTGCCAGTTAGATACTTTGTTAGGTCTATTAAACTCTTTACTTTTGGTCAACTGTCTGCGTCTCCCTGATTAGGTCATGGCTGCCAGAGCCAGGTTGTGACACAAGTAGAAACAGATGTGTTGAAATTGCTGTTGTTCTGGACAGTTATGTCAGAGCTTTGTATCAAACACTAGATGGCATTGTTTCACCGGAGTTTGTCATTACTTGTGGTTCCTTCCTCTTTTAATAGCCTTTATATACAAAGTACAATAAATGGCCTGAATTTTTTTTTTTTTTTTTTACTGCAGCAGTCTCTTAGCAGGCCAAGAAATTGGTGCCAATATAATAATAAAGCAGCTTTACAGTGTAGGATCTGTTCTGCTTATCAAATATAAAAAATAAACATTGCATTATCTGCATTATGTAGCCTGAGGGATGTGAAAACAGTCCTGTCATTACAACATTTATTTCAGTAATGATGAGTTTTTTTTTACATTAAAGTTCATTAGCACTCATCATAGATGACTCGTCCAACTAAACACCGTGTGTGTACAAAGAGGTGGGGCTTTTTTGGTGAAAAGCTTTCAACAGCAAAACATTGTAAACATTGGTGTGTGAAAACTGTTCTCCGTTTCTCTTAGTCTTCAATTTATTAGGTTTTGTATTGATTAAGAGATTTAAGAGCAAAGGAGAATACAGTCATTCATTACTCATACTGAACTTTGAATTTATTGCAGTAATTAAACAGATTACACAATGATTCGTGATAACAAACTACTCTGTCCTTAGTAAGACCATTTTAGATTTTCACTGCACTGAATTTCCTTCCCCCCACATTTATGATCCTCTAATGACCTTAGGCATTGTAAATAACAGACAGCCACAAGTTATTGTGCCATCTGATTATTTGCATGTTCGCTATATTTATATAATGTACCATGAACTTTGCAAATATGAAAACAAAGACAATTCTAGAATCAGATTCAGTGTCTTCATTGTGATGCGTTTGGATTTGCATGTGCAAAGTCGGCAAATGCACAAACGTCACATATGTGGGACATGCTTCACAAATGTCAAAAATAAAATAGTTTAATCATCTGAATGAGCAATGAAATTATTACAAATACAACCTGAGTTACAATCACTCCATTCTATCTTTGGTCAAACGTTAATCACATGTTCAGTTTGGTGTGGCATTAAATTAAATGGCATTAAATGACAAAGTCAAAATGAAAGTTAGGTAAAACAAAAAAAATTATAATGAAAAGAGTGGACAGAGGATTCTGCTCGACAAATCATGATACAACACAATTCACTATGAAACAAGAATTAGAATGAAACATACCAAAGCTTTAACCTACTAATATTAAGGTGTTTAGTATGGTCGCCAGAGTCAATTCATTTGAAAAAGCAAAACCCAAAACAATAAAACACCTGGATTCAAAAAGCCCTGTAAGGGCACAGGATTCTTAAAGGATGATATGCACAGTTAACAGAGAGTCTGAAAATGAACCAAAAGCCATAAAACAAACCTTTAATTTAAAAACTACAGCCTTTTAAGTTGTAAATTATTTTGTTGATTTTGGTCAGCTTCAACTTTGTTTTTTTTACCCGTTAAACGGTGTATATAATCCATTAAAAATACCATGATATATTACAAACCATTCATTTGTCCACCAATTATCTCCTTAAAATACCATTAAAATACCCCAATTGTATCATTATTAAAGGGTAAATTGATTGACTTTCAAGGTAAAAACAAACAAACTGGGATTCCGTTTGACATTGATTAAAGTGTGGGAGACGTTTAGTTTGCAAAACAATACTTCCAGGTGGTTACAATCCAGGTGAAATCAACCATGCCTCTAGCTCACATGGAGTTTGAGCTTTACTGATGAGTGAGGGGAAATGGGGGAGGGGAAATCTGCCAAACTCCCATTCACTCATTAACTCAGGTTGGGAGACTTCACTCTCTTCATCTAAAAAAAGGGTGCAACTAAAACAGAACTTGTGTATATAATGTCTGATGGCATTGATCTGGCTGGTAATGTGGAGCCAGGCTGAAAACAAATGACTTTCTGCCTTCATCCGAAGCCTCGCCCTTTAAATACACATTTACAACTGAGAAAGACACAAGACACTTGTCATACTTTCATAATTTCATGCATTTGTTGTGATAACAGATACAATTTATCTTACTCTGCAACTATAATCACTATTTCTATACTAAATCTATTAAATAACAATGTGAAAACAATGTGTAAGGGGTTGCTCCTGATGAAGCTACAGAGATACACCTGAATCTGCTGCTCCCCTCGGGTTTACGGAGCTTTATAGTAAGTTACAGCTCGTTGTTTAACTGTCCGACCTGAATCTCACTGCTCTCATAGTGTCACGTTTTCAACAGATTTTTGGATTTACATATTATTTTAGTGTTTTTCCAATCTAAAGGTGGCACTCATGACTTAGATATTGCTGATGGCCTTACCATCTCCAATACTATCACAATTCAGACATATTTAACCTCAAAGTGAACCCCATCACACAGTGTGTTCTGCTTTATTGACAAATAAAACCCCTCTGTGTGCAAACATACTGCATTTAATGCCTTAGAATAAAGATCCAGTCAACAACTTGTAATGTGGGATTTACAAATGTCTTCATAAAAGTAAAGTTATGTACAGGATTGAGAAGTCACACCGCAAGTGTATGCAGAAATGTATATTCACTTCTGCTTTCTACTTGCAATGTTTCACTTCTTGGAATTACTTCCCTGTTGGCGTGAGGCCTTCGAGGGAGATATGCTAAGAGATAAAGCACCATATAATTTTATCACATAGCAACGTTGACTGACATGTACCATAAACATGATCTGAATTACTCTGATGATCACTTGCGGGAAAATACTGAGATATTTCTTACAGGCAACAGTTTCCATGAGCCTTTTATAGGACCTTCAAGACTTATTTAGGTCATTATTGTAGGTGTAGCCTTTTGGATGATTGTGGGAGAACAAAGTTCAACTTTATCACTCTGGAATTAAATTATAAAGATGTATTTATCTATTGCTCTTTCAACTGTTCCTTTGGACCGGTGTAAATCTGTCCACCATGGCAAGGTCATTATAGTTCACTATTGTACTGACAAATGAACAAGTTCAGGGTGTGTCCATACCCTGACAGATACCACTGGAAGGTAAATTAGATATTGTTAAATAACCAACATGTTTTGTTTTTGTAAGATGCTAAATAAATATGAAAACAAATCCATAACTCATAAACTGGAATCTAAACTGGAATCACACATGTGGAGTCAAACATGACACAAAGCCAGTGTCAAACTGTACATATAAAAACAAAGAAAGCTATTATGCGGTAAGTTTATAGGCCAACATTGTGCTGCCTGACCTCAGTCATGGCAACAATCGAGATGGAGGTGGATTATTAACCACTGATGAAGTGCTTTGACACAAGTCAACATTAGTCCTCTATAAAAAGGAACTGAGAGGGAAGTGCAGGTTTCTCTGACCAAATGTCAGCTGCTTCTCTCCATCAGTCTAACCTTACCATATAATCCATCACATGCAGTGCGGTCATTTCTTGCGAACTTGTGCGTAAACGTCTGTGGCATTAGAACGAGGCTGAGGAGCTGGCTTCTTAATTCGCTGCTGGTGGGCATCATAGGTAGGAGGGGAGGAACCTGCAGGAGGATTGTTGTTCACTATGATCTGGGCATATTCTGATGAGTTACTCTGTAACCCTAGCTGCACTGTCCCGCCGTCCTTCTTCTGGAAAATACTGATATCTGCGTAGTTCAACTCCTACAAACGACAAAGCCAGGGAGAAAATATCCGATTAGATTTACTGTTATATCACATCAGATGAAATCATAACAGTTCAATGGATATCTGACTAATATCCAAAACAAGCACAAACAATAAAAGCTGCATCAAACTGCTGATGTTAAGACACATACACACTTCCACTTCATTTTGTTAACTGAATATCTACTTCAATGGGTCAAAGTCTGACTTTGAACGCTGTGGTAAACACAGATCCCAGATGAGTCTGATAGAAGCCTCGTTTAAATCAACAAACAAGCCAGAACACAATCTGGCCACATACAGTACAGTATATATATATCACAGAAAAAGAATCTCATATTTTAAGACTTTGCACATCACTTGAAACTCACCATTCTATATGATTTCTGTGCACTATATGTGATAAAATATTAGTTTTAATCAAAACCTTGTATGTGGACCATCAAGACTTATGACAGTATGTGACAGTTAGTATGTGTCCTGACTTATTTATTCCTTCAGAAATTTTTATTTTTTTTTCACTTATGTCTCATTACTTATATTAAACAAAAGTACAAAGAAGATTTTTCCATAATTATTTGTATTCATATACATGTAAGAAAAGTTATACTACAATTTGTCTGAGCAATATGGTGATCACCACTGTCATAGGACCGCTTAGTGGGATTGCAATGTTAGGGCTAGTTGAGCCAGGAAACTTAAAGATACTCTGGGTATGTTGGATTCGCTTTGAAGTA